GTAAAAAATCTTACAGATAAGAGATCAAAAGACTGGGTGGACATGGATATGATGTTTGTAAAGGACATAATGAGTTATGTTATCGAGCCGTTTACATATATTTGTAATTTATCATTTTCAAAAGGAATATTTCCAGACAATATGAAAGTAGCTAAGGTAGTTCCTCTCTTTAAAAATGGTGATAAATGTGTGTTCAATAATTATAGACCAATATCCTTATTACCACAATTCTCAAAAATTCTAGAAAAACTGTTTGTGACCAGATTAGATCAATTTATTACTAAACAAAACATTCTAAGTAGCAGTCAGTATGGGTTTAGAGCAAAAAACTCTACATCAATGGCTCTCATGGAAATAATGGAACAAATAACTACTGCTGTCGATCAAAAACAGTATTGTGTTAGTATTTTTGTTGATTTAAAAAAAGCATTCGATACTATTGACCACACTATTCTCCTTGAAAAATTAAATAAATATGGTATAAGAGGACCAGCATTACACTGGGTATCTAGCTATTTAAAAGATAGGAAACAGTTTGTACAAATAAATGGTGTAAGATCTGACTTGTGCAATATCACTTGTGGAGTTCCTCAAGGCTCTGTACTTGGACCAAAGTTATTTATTTTATATGTGAATGACTTAGTGAATGTATCAGGACTCCTCAAATGTGTCCTTTTTGCAGATGACACCACATTTTTTTGTTTGGGTAAAGATGTAAAACGAATGTTGGAATTGATGAAGACAGAATTTGATAAAATACAAACTTGGTTTAAAATTAATAAATTATCATTAAATTTAGATAAAACTAAATACATGATATTTAGTAACAAAAAGAGAACTGTTGATGATCCATTTAAAATTGAGGGTGTTGAGATTTGTAGAGTTAATGAGATGAAATTTTTGGGTGTAATCATTGATGAACAGCTAACATGGAAAAATCACATCAATTCTGTAAGAACAAAAATATCTAAATCTATTGCAGTACTATACAAAGTCAGGGAATTATTAAATGATAAAGCTCTGTACATGTTGTATAACACAATCATTGTTCCACATTTAATCTATTGCATTGATGTTTGGGGGAAAGCGTGTAAAACATTTACAAAACCTATTTTTATTTTACAGAAAAGAGCTGTAAGAATTATCACCAGAAAGCATTACAGTCACCCATCAAGCACATTATTTTATCAACTGAAGTTATTGAAGTTCCATGATTTGGTAGATTATAGTATTTTATCAGTTATGTATAGGGCTCAAAATAACACATTACCATTAAATATCCAAAGAAATTTTGTTAAAAGACAAAGTTGTTACAATCTTAAGGGGATAGAAATATTTGTCAAACCAAAATTCAGAACTAGTCTGAAGGGAAGGTCTACCTCAATCCAAGGAGTTGGATTGTGGAATCGTCTAGAGAGTGATGTAAAAAATGTCAAGTCAATGTGTACATTTAAGAAAAAGATCAAAGCTGAATTGTTAAAAAAGTATATATGAAGTAGCTTAGTGTGTGTTTTTTATTAGAATTAGAAAAATTAGAAAGTTATTCATTTTGTTCTGTTACTTGAAAATTAATATGTCTGAAATAATTGTTTGAAAAAAGGGGCAGATATAATAAGATTTTTTCTTCTTTCTGCTGCCTTTCATTTTAAATTTTTTTTTGTATCTTTTATATATTGTTATGGAATTGTTTTGTACTTTTTTTTAAATGAATAAACTTCATACCATACCATACCATACCATACCATACCATACCATGTGGTAACAGACAAACGTAAAGGAGAAAATAGTAAAAATTAAAAAATTAAAATTAAAAAGGGAAAATAAAGGAAAAAAAAAAAAAAAAAAGAATAGCTGTGACACCATTCACCTTCACCAGTGCAAACACCTTACCGAGCTGTGCTTTACATTTTATTTACAAATGCCAGTTAATTTACCTCCAGTGTTACAAGCATTAAACCAGGACTATGTCCTGTTTAAAAACCCACTACTATTCGGTAGCTTTCAACACCAGATGATCTGTGTTTTGAACCTGTATGCTCCACACTGGTTAGTCATCATTATCTGCATCGCTTTTATGTCTATATTTCTGATTTACTTAATTTTGTATTTTGCTTTGTGTGTTACCTGTTGTTCTGTCTGTACAGCACTTTGGTTGGCATTGTCGCTGTTTTAAGTGCTCTATAAATAAAATGGTATGGTATGGTACAGTATGGTATTCAACTAAACTGCCCAGGGGGCCACAGTTACTGAAAGCCAAGCGCTCAGGGGTCAGATATCCAGTAGTTCTTATCATTAAGTTACTTTGTTTTATAGTTAAAACTCTAGTTTTGTTTTAAAATAGTGAACCCATTAGTGGACCGAACTTAACTCACCTGTGGGCCTGATTTGACCCGAGGGCCGTCAGTTGAACAGCCCTGCTTCAAACTAACCTGTTGTTCCTTTTAATAAAGCCACGGAGTGTTGTCCCATTCCCTGAACAACTGACCATTAATATAAAGTTTATCTACAGCCACCGTAGCTCTGACGCCCTCAGACATGTATTTCTTTCTGATTGGAAACAAAATTCCCCTCCGATCGAGGATCTCTTTTGGAAATTGATCGTTCACACTGAAGTCCATCCCACGCAGCTCTCTGTCCCAACTTCTGACCTGGTTTTTTTTTTTTAAAGTGCTCAAATTTAGCAATAATTGGCCGAGGTCGCATGTTATCGGGCTTCTTACCTCCGAGCTGGTGAACTCGATGGAATGTGATGTTTTTTTACCATCTCACTTGGGAGTTTCAGCTGATGTTAGATAAACTCACGGATCATAACTTCCTTCAGTATCCTCCTCTGCTCGTTCTGGGATCCCTGAGAAGACAAGATTGTCTCGCATGCTCCGAGCTTGAATGTCCAGGACAGACTCCTTCATTTTCCTGTATAAAGGAAGGGTCCTCAGATCGTTAAATTTTTATTAGTAATTTTATTCCGAAAGGGGCACCACTTGCTTTCCGGTTCTTAAGCAAGAAAATTATTAAATCAGACTCAAGTTTTCTTGCTCTAGTGAGTTCTTTTCATATTAAATTCATATGTCATATATTATAAAAAACGCTTTGAGTCAAAGTACAATTTTGTGAAGTTTATTATCGATTTTGGTAAATATAAGTGATCAAAATGATGAGTACAGCTGAAGAATGAATAATGGCTTTTATTTGGCAACATAAGAAGAGGTTATGGAATTATCTTCTAAACTTTAATATGGTGAATTATGAGGTTCAAAAGCAGAGTAAATTATCATCTATAAAGTTAACTAAAAGAAGTGTTTTGGCTCAATGTGATTTGTCAATTTTGGAAAACTTAATTCTAATTAATAATGATGAATTTTGTTTAGAGTGGACAACTTCTTATCTTGAGCACCAGACACCAGCAGAGAGAAGGAGCAGCTTTTCCTACCGATTTGAAGTTCTAGTTCAACCGCCCGAGGGTTACAAGGGACTCTCTTGAGATGAGTTAAGCGTCAAAGGTGGGATATCCCTCCACACTGGACATAAGCTGAAATTTGGAGTTGATAGTTATCTGGCTCCCGGTGGGGTCAGTTGATGCACTCCCAGAGGGCTGTGTTTTCTCCTTCTGGTGACAAGGAACCTTTTGATGCTTCCTTGAAACACGAGACAAATCTCTGGAACACTTGTCTCTTTTCTGCATGAACTTCTTATCTTCTGGTACAAATTTCTGATTGCTTGACCTTTCTTCTTCAAAAATGTCCCCAAAGCTGCTCTAAACTAAACGTCAGAATAACTTTCTCTGACTTAGAGGGCATTACAATATTGATGGTTGACCCAATCAAAACAGAAAGGGTGGACCTTCAGGTTACTGTGTCATTTGAACTTTAATAACATTATTAAAAATAAATGGCTAATTTACTCTGCTTTGGTAAATACTCAATATAACAGCAGGATAATTAAAACTTCTAAGCAGTTTTTACTCATCCATAAACATTTTCATTAGAACTTGTGCAAACAACAGCTGAAACTTCTAATTACTAGTTTTTTTTACATCTACTTTCTCTTATGCATAATTAAACTGAATACTGAGTTGAGAAAGGAAGTAAACAAGTTATTTCATAGCAGTTTTACAGCAAAACATTCAATTGTGTTCAGGAGAAATCAGAAATTTTAAATTGTTCAGAAAAATAATTTCTAACGTGGGATGGCAAAAAAGTCCTTGAGGAACAATAGGGGTTCTTTCCCATACTCTAAGACTGCAGGACGAATCCTTCCTTTTAGGAAGAGATACAAATAAGGCTTCAGATGTTATATTTCAAAGGTCAGATGGAAAGGTTCTCATACAAAAGGGGGCAGAGCAGTAGCTAAATATCTGACACACGGAGCAAGTGAAAACAAAGGAAGCCGGGAGAGAAGCAGCAGCCATGCTAAGCTAATGCTAGCGAGAGCTAGCAGATCCCAATACACCAATAAAAACCGAGAAGTGTTGAAAGATAAAAGGTGTTTTAAGCACTATCCAAGTGTGTTTGTGAACTACAATGAAAAACTGTGCAAAAGACAGATAAATCCAGAAAACAAGAGGAGACTTGAGCAAGCAAATCACTCGAGCTACCGACAGACAAACAGGAAGTGACACAATACGTCTCACCACGAATGTGCACTGTCACCAGCAGAGCAGTCCCAGAGCTGATTTCTGGGAAGTATGACAGGGACATTAATTATATATCAAATGAACCACTGCACAGTTTTTAAAGAAATTGGTTGGTGAGGGAGTAATTAAAAGTCATACTCAAGATATACTCTGAGCACTAAGATTTCACAACATTAAAGATAATGTCTAATATAATTTACAAGGCTTGCCCAAAATGGTCACAACTTATTTCCTTCTCATCATATAGTGGAAAACTTGGAGGGAGACATGCATTCCTTCAAGACATGCAAGACCTTTATCATTAAAAGACAACACATAAAATGCCATGACTTTGTTTTTAGTAGGAAAAAGAGGAAACCAGACTTACAGGCACACACTCCGACTTCATATTTTGGCTTGTCAGCAGAGAAGTTACAGTACATGCCCTTGTGGGGGTCACATATATCCCTCTCATTGCACGGCTCTCCGATCTGACTGGCGCAGCTCTTGCAGCAGCCACAGCCGTCCAAGACAGCGCTCACACCCGGGGCACAGTAAGGTCTCTCTGAACACTTACAGGGCCACTGACAGAACTGCTCCCTGTTTGCCGAAGGCCGTGATGTGTAGGCGGCCAGCTGATGCTTGTGCTTCTGAGCATTACTGGCTGTCTGTGTCAAAAGAAGGAAAAACAAAATGTGTTCAAAGATTGTTTTTATATATATTTCTTACACACTGGGGCAGCATTCAGACATTTCCATGAATTAAAGAAGATGGTTGCATTATTGGGCAGCACAGTGGTACAGTTGGTAGAGCTACCACCTCTCAGCGAGTAGGTCACCCTGGTTGAAATCCCAGCTGTGGCCTTTCTGAGTGGAGTTTGCATCAGACCTTGCATGCATGGGGATTCCCCGGGTACTCTGGTTTCCTCCCACAGACCAAAAACATGCATTGGTAACTAATTCTAAATTGTTCTTAAGTGTGAGTGAGTGAATGGTTGGTTGTCTTGTTTTTCTCTATGTGTCCCTGTGATGGACTTACGACCTGTCCAGGGTGTACCCCACCTCTCACACAGTGATAGCTGGACATGGGCACCAGTGACCCCCGCAACCCAAAAAAGAAGAAGTGGGTAAAGATAATGGATGGATGGATGGATGGATAAATGGATGGAAGGTTGCATCATTTTTTGCCTGCCACTACAAAGCAAAAGCAGAGGAATCATTCAATTAGTTTTATGTGTATGTATGAGTGTTGGCACTTGAATTTTATTGAAACTCTCAGTTTCAATGACTGGATATACATCAACAATCTATTATCTACTAGTGTCAAGCTGAGTCAAGATGACTGCCACTGTTGATGGAACTTACAAAACACAAAAATACTCTTGCATGTAACAGTCAGTTCTAAAGATATTGAACTAAAATGTAATGTGCTTGTAGCTGAAACTGACCCCCACTGCATATTCTGAGTTCTAAAATCTAGTCTTTAACTACTTGGAGTAAAATATTTGTTCAAACTTAATTTAACTAGTTTGCTTATTGGGCCACTTAGATGATGTCACCTTGGAGACAAAGTCAATTCACATGAATTTTACTGCTTTATGTATAGCAAAAAAAAAACTATACACATGAATTGGAAAAATAATAATACTCTTAGTATTAAACAGTATAAAGACCTTTTGTTTGATTACATCAGTCTTGAAACAACCTGTACCTCTATATCAGACCAATCTCTCTGGGCTTCTTTGATTGGCTCCAACCCATAGTGGAGATGGGTGAACCCCTTTGATTTCGTCCCGTGGGGCATTGTTGTAGATGTGGGGTGGTATCGGGGCTGGGGGCATGGGGTGTAGTGAACTTAACCTGATGTCAAAACTAAGCCTAAGGTCAAAACCCTTGACCTTAAGAACCTTGTGGGACAGAAACGGTCATTTCATTGATTTGAATCCAGAAATACAGGTTCACCCATCCTGAGACTTTCCTTCTTGAAAATCAAGTGAAAGAACACTCTCTTTTTATTATCATTACTATTTTACAAATGTTGATAATCAAAGTGTCTTAGTTCAAACCATTTTAGATGTTGCAGTGAACTAATCAATTTTATTAACTGTGAAACAGTGTAATGATTTTTTAATGCTTATGCAGAGTTAGAATTCATGTTAAGGTCTGTTACAGATTTTTATGCATTTTCTGATTTCTGTCTTTGAATGAGCAAGTGTGCGTTTTCCAAGGTCAGGAGTCGAAGCAGACATGTGTCTTGTTTACATCCTCTCAGACGTCAACGGAGGAGTTGGCACCTGTTTCTAAAACTCGCCAAAACAAAACTCTCTCTGTCTCTGAGAACAGTTTAATCTGTTCCATAACAATTCTTGCTGTTTTCTGACTTCTAGTAACCTCTTACATCACAAAACACACCCCTGTCTGGTTGATATTACCCAATCAGGGACGCTCAAATATACCGGAAATAGAGCTCTTTAAAATGCCGGTACTTCCTAGTTCTCTCAGTTCGGTGAAGAGTCTAAGCAGTTCGGCGGCGCGAAGAAGTTCTAAGACGTTCGCAGTTCTGTGAAGTCGTTTGGGAGAACAGAAGTCCAGCATGATAAAGCTCCTCCGAGTTGGATTATAACATCTTCCACCTCTGAGTGGAACTTCTGAAGGACCCCACTCATGTGAAGTCCACTTGCTGATGTGAGCTGGTGTCGGACGGAATCTCGTCACTACTTCAGACGAGTCACAGCCATCCTATGGAGACGCTGGACAGGTAGCGTTAACTGGACCTCCATATCTGCTGATTAATCTTCAGAAAGGTAATGAGTCAAGTTCCCTACCAAGCGTACAGAGGAAAACTGGGTTCGGATGGAGAGTGTCGGTTCTGGTCAACACTTCCCCTCACATACCATCTTTTACTCCCTTTAAACTTCATTTCCATCTTTAAATTCTTCTCTCAAGTAGAAATCCTTCCAGATAATTTAGGAATGTCTGTGTAAAGTGCTCATCCACCGCCGTGTGGATAATTGATCATAATTGTACAGTTTTCATTAATGTCTGCTGTTCTGCTGAAGAGTGGAAACAATCGCCGAATTGTTTCTCACTACCTGTAAAGCTGTTAATTATGTTGTTATTTTCATTTTTTGCCAAATTAATGTAAATGTTTGATGTTAAACTTTGATTCTGTAAAATAAATGACCGCATTCATTTTGATGGGTCAAAGATAAATGACGTCTCACGTTTACATTTCATTAAATTCAATGCACGTTTTATTCAGTCCAGAAAAATGAGGAATCCGTTTTAATTTATGAATATTTCGCAGCATCTGTTCATCTACAGGGCATGGGGCATAGGGGGGTTGTGGGCCTGGTGCAATGGCGCTCAACTGGGGAGGTGGCTTTGGTGGTTCTGGACGTTGACTTCTGCTGGCTGCATGCAGGCTTATGGGCAGTCTGTACCAGCAAACACAAGTTACTGGCCTGGTGGTCTGGCTGCTCCTGGGTGGGTTTGGGGTGGGCGCGGGCATTGTTGATATGTTGATATTGTTGGTGTGGGGAAGATGGGCCATGGGAGGGGACGGGTGGATTCAGCTTGGATGTCTTCTTCCCTGGCTGTGGCTGCGGTCTGGTGCTTGGCTTGGGGTCTGGGCAGTGGGGAGCTGTGGGTGGTGGGTGTATTGGGGGCTCTTGCTCGAGTGGCTCTGCACTGTTGGCCCGGGGGTGTCTGGGCATGTTAGGTGTGTGCCCTCCCATGTGTGGGGTACTCTCATTGTGGGTGTTGCTCTGGTGGACTGGTTAGTTTCTTTGTGGGGGTGGGGGTTTGCTTTCAGTCGCCATGTTGCACTATCTGCAGCTGTTCAGGCACTCATGGCTGATTGTCATTGTTTGAATTTGGTGGCTTCTTTGGTCGGGGGGTTGGATGTTGAGTTGGGGATCGGGTTGGGGGGTCTGGATGGTCTCCGGGGGAGGGGGTGTTGGGTTGTTGGCCTTGGTTCTGGTCGGTCCTCTGGGCTATGTGCCAGTCCGTGGCCAGGGTCCCTGGTGGTGTGGCAGCCTCCTGCACCTGGATGGATGTACTGGAGCCTCCATCCCCTGGTAGATCTCAGAGAATGGGGGTGCCTATTGGGGACAGTGGAGGAGCTGACCCCCTGGGAGGGCATTGCCACCTCAGTTGTTCCTCCCCATCTTGACATCTTCTTTCACCCACTCCATCACACCACCACTCAAGCAGGGCCTTGGGGTTCAGGTGCACTACTGAGCTGTGGGGAGGATCCTCCATCTCCATGGTTTGTGGAGACCTGGGCCCCAATTTTATTAAACAACCTAGACACTCACATATAACATTCTCACGACACATGCATATATAGGGTCTGGAGTGGGCCCACGGTAGCATATAGGTGGTGGGATGTGTAATCATTCTCACCTCCGGGACCTGTGCCCACTCTCATATGTAGCATGTAGACATTTAGGGTTCTGGGCAAGGGTTGGGGAGGTTAACGGGCATTACCTGTTCTCTGGGGAGGGGGTGGATCTGTGCCGGTCTCCACCTCATCTCCCCATTTTAAATGCACTATTAATGCCCCTTTTCCATTAGTACCGGTATGGGCCGACTGGACCCTACTTGGCCCGGTTCTGAGGCTTTTCCATTAGTACCAGTACTTAGCACCTGTTACTTTTTTCAGTACCCTTGGCTCTGTGGTTCTAACCGGAATGAAGAGGTACTAAAACGTGACGTCAGAACACTGTCGGTCACTGACTGGTCGGGGGCGGAGTCACTGAATCCTTCAGAAACTTTTCAAAACAATAATCCACCATTTGCAATTTCTCGGACTGGAGCAGCGGCTGGACTTATTTTAAAGATTTTAAAAACAATACTGACAACATCTTGGTCTAATGCTGATGTGCTGGCATTTTTTTGTGCTTGGTGGCCGACAACATAATTCAGAGCAAGCTGGATGGAGCTCTGCTTGTGTACCCTGATCCTCCCTCCGGAGCCTCGGAGCACCAGGCCGGGCAGGGCGTCATCTCCCTGGCTCCGAGTTCCACTGGTCACCGCGGAAGATCCTTTGATGTGCCGACTCGGAGGCTCAGGTTCCGGATACCGGCCTTGTGTGCTCAGAGCTCCGCTGGTGAGAAGGGGTTATCTGCAGACCAAAAGTGGGCGTTTCTGGCGAATAGGCATTTATGGGTGGCAAACACTAATTGGCTAACAGTATTTAATAGACGTTTATGGGCGGCGAACACTGATTGGCTATGGGTAACCCTCAAAGTCACGAGTATTATTGATGAGGTAATGTTTCTTTGCAATGTTTGACAAAGAAATATGATTTATTGTACTTATAAAGTATGTTATGTTTTCACTTATGCATATTATTGAAGTACGTTAATTGTAGGTCACGATAGTTTCGACCGTTCTCTCGTTGTTGTCGTGCTTTAGAAGTTTAGCTCATGTGAAAACATGGTGGGGAATTCCCATGCAGGAACACACTGAGGTAAAGTGAACCTCCACTCGGCTCCTGCAGCTCTCACTGTGCACGTTTACAACAACTGTGTTGCTTTTCAAAATACAAGCTGAAAATAAAAGTTCTTAATACTTGCAAAATAAATATTTTAAAGCTGTGTATAACTGAAAAATATGAAAAACAAATAAATAAAAGTTGTTATTAGCTGAAAAATAAACAAATAAAAGCCGTTAATTATATCTGTGTCTTTCTGCCATGTCAGGAACCACTCTCACTTCAGGTTGACTCTAGAAGACCCCAAGATGTTGTTCAAAAACTTTGACCAACATCTGATGTTGACTTTCAAAATAAATCACCTCCAAATTTTTACATAGTTCATAGTAATAGTCAAAAGTTGCTGACCTTGTTGCAACATGAGTTAACACGAGCATGAGTGTAATTTGTCAATGATTCAATAATGAGTAATAACTTATTCAATAATAAGTCTGTAATTTGTCAACAATAGTCAATAATTCATTCAAGAATAGATTATGGGTGTTTGGTATGGCTCAGTGGCTAAAATGGGTTGGATGTTAGAGAAATTATTTAATTTTCAATTACCTTAATGTACAAATTCCTTCATTTATAGTTAAACTTTAGGAAATCAACTTTTTTTTCCTTGTGAAAAAAATATCAAAATTAACTTTAAAATCCAATCCAGGATTAAGTAACAACTAGCAACACCCTAACTGTACTATGTTTTGTGTTTCCAACAGATGCTACGATGACTTCTAAAAACGGATGTCCCAATAAACACAATAAAAAAAAATTCAATGATGCATCAAATGTTGTCTGAGTATGTTTTAAGTTAATAACAAATGTGAAATCTGGAAAACAAAGAGAATTCCTGAATCTGTTTTGTGTGCTTTGATGTGTACATAAGTTTATCGGAGGTCCTGAAACAACTTTTCTGAGAACACAAAGATTTTTATTTTACCTTTGGCCAAGATGTCACTTTGAAATCAGGCTGCTTACTGCAAAACCAAGAGTTTTTTTTAAAGACGGACAGTCTTCATTTGTATTGTTTTGTCAACTAAGCTAAATGTAATTTCTAAAATATGGATAAATCTGATCTCATCATGAAGCATAAGCAACTGGGTATAGGTGTGAGGGCCAAAAGTCTGGTTATGTACTGACTCCTAAATGTGCTTGTTTTCTACAGAAACATGGAGTAGGGTTGACCTTTAAAATGTGAGACAGCTGAGGAAGTTAACCAGTAAAAAGAAATACCTGCTCCAGTTGCAGAAATCTGACAGAAACTGACAAATCACTCATCTGCAGTGACTGCAAGTTGAACAAGAAAATGTGAAGTTAAAGGAAACATCCTTTGTCCCAAGGCCAGTTTCAGTATCATTAATATTTTTCTTTCTTTATGAATCAATTGTAACTTTTTTCACATTTTTCAACAACCAAAATGGAATTTGTTTTTTAATGTTATGGCTAGGTATTCAAAAAAACCTAACATTTAGCTCTCCTCACTACCCAGTTATGTTGCTCTTATTTTGAAATGTAACCGGAAGTTCTGTGTTAAGAGAGTCGAAAAAAGAAGTTATGGAGACGCCGCGGCAGTATACTGGAGCAATGTCGAACCGAGATGCCGCTAATGTCGAACCGGTTAACACCATAGACATAATATGCCTGTGGTTAACACAATCTGCCAATAACGCCTTGTTTTTAGACATCATATGTCTGTGGTTACGGCATTTTATTGTTCAGCCTTTTTTCTATCGTCCAATCAGATGTGGCCAGCCAGACACGCCTATTTTTCTATTGTCCAATCAAATATGGCCGGCCAGACACGCCCATTTTTCTATCGTCCAATCAGATGCGGCCAGCCAGACACGCCTATTTTCATATAGTCCAATCAGATATAATCGCCCAGATACGCCTTCCGAATTTGCCTGCAGAGATACCTACTTGCCGCTGGTCACTGCGAAGCTGGAGATGGGGACGCGCAGATGGCCGTTGCGAGACCCCGGCCGCGCGTAATCATGAGGGCTGAATCCCGATCCCACCCAGCAGTCAGGCGGACTGGACAGTATGGGACGGACGGTGGAAGCGATTTTTAAATAAAATAATATTTTGTTTTTATACAAAAAATGTTTAAAAATATTGCTGAAGCAATTTAAAAATGATTATTATTATTTTTACACGTAAAATGTTTTTTAAAATTGCTTCCACCATTCATCGCAGACCCGTCTCTGTCCGCCTGTCTGCGCTGGTCGGGCTTTCATGATTACGTGTGGCTGGGGTCTTGGAACAGCCTCTGCAAGTCACTAGCTGAGCTCGGAGATGGGAAGATGAGCCTGCCCGTCCTGTCTCCGGAGGAGAGGATCATGTGAGACCAGCAGAGCTGGTCATAAAAAAAATAATATATATATATATATATATATTTTAGCGTTGAAGATTAAAAAAAAAAAAATAAATGGTGCCAGCTTCATCATGAAATCCTGTTTTCACTTTAATGACTGTTAGCTGAAAATCATAAAAAGACACAAAACTATTGGATCTTGTTGTATAATGTCATCTTTTTTGCTATGCTCTGACATGAAATATTTCTCTGTATGGTAAAAAACTATAAAATCATGACGTACGTCATAAAAGTTCATGATGTGCGTAACTCCTTGTACAAGAGGACCAGAGACTACTGTTATCTTGCCAAGAACAGATCACATTCAGCTGGGGGCAGTGGGCGAAAAAAAACAAGACCATGCCAGACCACGCCCAGTAGCGCCGACTGACTCAGAACAACATCATGATAATGACATCCCAATGTGACTGATAAGGCTGTATTTAAATGAAGCAAATACATTTGAAACTTAGACGTGTTAGATGGATGTAAGGTGCATGTGAGACGTCTCCCTTTTCAGCGCTGTAAAGGTAAAATAAATATTTGTCTGAATTCAGAACCACTTCTCAGGCTGTGTTTGTGACTCTGTCTTCCTTCCACTGAACGATCTCAGATTGAGGCAGTTTTGAGCTAAGCGTTTGAAAGTTGGTTCTCATAGTTTTAAAGACCTCAACAATTTGGTGGAGGATGTGGGCAGTGGAAATGAAGACAAGAGTAATTGTTAAATGTGAATTGAATCCAGGTTGACAGACTCTGTGCACTTGCACTAGCCGGCTAAAAAAACAAGAGGAATTTTCCTCACAGTGTGGGTGTGCTGCATCAGTTTATCTGCTAAAATTAACAGCCTTGATTGTGGTGATTTGGTTGTTTTAAGAAGTTGA